GGTAGGACACAAATACCACTGATCTTTAAGGATGAGATTAATAAATCGGGCTATGGTAAATAAGGGTTTTCTCTCTGTGGTAGGCAGTTAGACAGACATGAGCAGGGCAAAGGATGAGGGGCCACGGTCAGAGGGTCACCAGGCAAAAAGCCCTGGGTGCCTAGTAACGAGCAAAGCTGGGAAAACAAGGACCTTGCCACCGGGGTAGCCTTTCCTCCCCTAGCATACCAGAGGCCATGCAGTTTAGACCCCTTTGATATCACTGGTCATGCGGTTCAGACCCTCCGCGGATCTTTCTTCTCCTGGCATGCTGCTAATCATGAGGGTTAGACTCCTTTAAAGGGGGAACAAACAAAGGGTCCAGAGAATAGCCTTAAAGCATTAAGCCCCCAGGATGACGAGGTTCTGCCTCACATCAAAAACATCTCGGTCTCAGTTGTGTTTCAGATCCAGACCCAGAAAAGCAGCAAAGCCAGACAAGCAAAGACACCATGGCTGACATCAGGACCAGCTGCATTGACCCTGACCCTGGCACTGACCAATCAGTAAAGGCCATGACCTTGAAAGGACACACTTGGAAAGCTGGTGAATATTCTATTGGAATCCTACCCTGAGACCTCCAGATAAATATCCTCAAGACCCAAGGACCCAGTGCGGCACTCTCTAGGGAGCCCGGCTGTGCCTTTCCCCACCTCCTTCCTCCAAGCACGTTTTTCCTCGCCTCTCTCTTTCTCCTCCCGCCCCACTTTTACCACCACTCAAGGCACTTTTTTTTTTTTTTAAGATTTTATTTAGTTACTTTTAGAGAGGGGGGAATGGAGGGAGAAAAGAGAAGGAGAGAAATGGGAATGTGCAAGAGATACATGGATCAGTTGCCTCTCGTAAGCCCTGACCGGCGACCCAGGCATGTGGCCTGATCTGGAATCAAATGGCAACCTTTCAGTTCACAGGCTGGCACTCAATCATCCACTGACTCACACGAGCCAAAGTGCCTCTTTCTACTAAGCTCCAAGGACCTTTCTTTTTTGCCTCTGTAACTTGTTTCCTGAGGCCATGTCTTCTACTACTCACTTCTTCTACCTCTGTGACTTTCTAAATAAGCTTTCTCGTACACTTTGAGTCTTGGCTCTGAATTCTCTGCTGGCCAGAACTCAGGTACCCACATTGCTAAATCAAGGCCCAGTCTGAGTGCGCTGGTCTAACACGTGGGGCCGTTCTCACTGTCACCAACATCTCCATCAATAGATGGCATTTGGAGACTGAAGAGCAAGCCACGGAGGGCAGAATATATTTGCAACACAGTAACTAAGAATTTCTCCGATCATTAGTTCCCTCATCGGTTAAATGAGATAAGATAGCACTATGTCTGGTATGTAGGAAGTGCTTTTAAAGTTTTATCTTGTACCTCTTATGACCGAGAGGAGGACAATACTTCCTACCCTTTCCAGGCAGACAGAATTTGCCTCCTGTTTTGGACACTCACCAAAGAAAGATGTCGAAAGGGTTTCTTCAACCATCCCTTACAACCCTTTACAAACCAGTGTTGAGGGCAGTCCCTAAGGTATCCCCTTTGTCCCCTCAGCTGCCATCTGCATGCAGACGAGGTATCCAGTTCTAAGTAATACCATAGAAGGGTTAAAGGGTGCAAAGCGGGGTGGCAGGGGTGGGGTGGTGACGGGAAAGGGGCGAAAGTGGCTTTTACTCTTAGCTGTGTCAGCCCACTATAGGGGATCCCCACACAAGCTCAAAGCAGCAGAGAGGGGCTGGGCAGGAGGAGAGAAGCTCTCTTCTTTCAAGCATATTATTTATCATAATAGTCACCAGGATTCCCCAAAGCATGAAAGGAGACTTTTAGGATGGTTTCAAAGGGGTCAGTCACCTCTTTCCTGCTGAGACAGGAGAAGCCAGAGCTTAAATGGGGGACATTCTGACCTGCGTGGATGGAGGAGCATGTAGGGCAAGGCCAAGGCCAGCGACCTCTCCCCAGTGTGCCTCCACAGTGGTGTGCATCTCCAGGCCTCGACAGAAAGACTTAGGTTTGCCTCTAGCTGTCCTCCTTCCTTTTATCCCTCCCCAGGAGGAGGACACAGAGTCTAGAAGCATCAGGCCACTAATATGAAGCCAGGGGTGGTGAGGATAAAGATGCCTGAATAGGCCCACACCCATTGGTTTTGAGGGCCAGAGGATTCGTGGCTAGGACAGGGTCAAGCACTATGTGCAAACCTTTCTGTAGGTCACAGAATCTGTTTTCACCCTGGCAGCCCTGGTCTCTCTCCACAGCCTCATGGACTGAGCATTACCCTTAGCCCCACTTCACGGGTGTCCAATCTGAGCCTCAGAGAAATAGTACTTACCCAGCGCAGTTTCAGGCTACAGGCCTATCCCACTTTATAGTCTGGCCTAAATCAAGATACCAATAATAAAGATATCATGAATTACCATTGTTGAGCTTCTCTTATGTGCCAGGCATGTAGTCAATAGGTGCTTCACTTCCATTAGCTCAGAAGGACCCCAGAGCTAAGTGAGGGTACCCCATTTTACAGTTCAGAAGAGATAATAGCAGTAAGAGAGCATACTTGGTGTAAGACACTGTTCTAAACACTTTAGTGTACATTAGATCTTTGAATCTTCCCAAGAATCCTGTGAGAATAAGTGCAAGTATCATGTCCTTTTCAGAGATACAAAAACTGAGGCTCAGAGACCTCTGAGGCCACACAGCTAGAAAGTAACAGAACAAGGATTTGAACCAAACATTCTTACCACTATTCTGTATCTGGCAGTATAGGCCTCTTATCCAAAGTGACATATCTAGAGAGTATCAGAATCTATTTGAAACCCCTGGCCTCCTGAAAACCCAGGATCTTTCCACCCAGAGATCCTGCCTAGGGCAGGGCTAGAGGGATTCTCTGGATCATGTCTCCATCCAAGACACAGCTTTCTTCCAGTCAATCTCCAGAAACAGGATGCACGGAGACAGAGCCCTCCATGGTGGCATCTGGCCCGGTCAGGCTGACAAGGCTGGGACCCAACCCCACCGACCTTCTTTGCCAGTTTTTCCCTCTCTGCCTGCTGCTCGCTGGCTGAAACCAGCCCCTGACTCTCCTTCTCTCCTTCGGTTCCCATTGAAAGCCCTGAGAGGGAGGAGGAGAGAGAGCGTGGAGGGAGAGCAGGTCTCCAGCGAGCCCTGCCTTCCCCTCCAGGAGGAGGAAGAGGAGCTTGGTGGGGGTGAGGAGAGGGGTGCTGGGGAGCGGTTCTGGAGCTGTGGGGAAGGGTAACCTAGCAACCACTGCTCATGCAGTCACAAAGCGGACAGGCTTGCCCACAGAACCCACAAGCTTTGCCTTTGACTGTCCCCTTGCTCCTTCCTGCTCAGGCAACAGGGGCTTCTCACCCACGTGCTATAGTGGACACTTGCCTCGGTGAGTCCAGGGATCTTTCCAGGGGAGGAAATGGACACTAGAGCCAGACTGGGGCCCAGGGGAGGGCCCAGAGGAGCCAAGATGGGGAAAGGAATGTTCTGTTCCAGGATTGATGTGAGTGTTCAGACTCCTTGTGCCTGGCTGGCTGGGGACCCAAGGGGCGGGGGGAAGCGAGGAAAGAGACAGGCCTGACCTCTCTACAGCAGCCGTGGGGTGTGACCCATTGGTGTCTTATAAAATCAGTTTAATGGATCACGTCGAATGTTTACAAAATGCAAGCAAGTGGGATAAAAATATCCTTGTGCATCATATGTAGCAGGGTAAGCATTGCTTCAGAATATTCTTGCTTCAGTTTCACATACACACGAACGCATGCACAGATAAGTGAATTAGGTCATGATGTAACATGTAACAATAAGTTTCTTTCTGTAGTCACAGTCAAGAGCATTTGAAAACCTTGGTTCTAAAGACTACCTTTTCCTGTTGGCAGGTGCTTTGGGGGCTTCCAAATGCCCTGTCGTCAAGCCTGCCGCCTCTAAGTGCTCTGGAGTCCAAAGCATGTCCAAAGCTTCCTTCAAAGGCCACTCTGCCAGCTGTTTTTCTTTTTAGAGAAAACATCAGGAGTCTTTGAGTTTGGTTGCTTGGTTCCTTGCTGTGTGACCTCCAAGTCTCTCCCCTTCCCTGATCTCAGGCAGTACTGCCCCCTCCTCCATCTTAACTTGATGAAAGGCTGGCCCTGGGGGGTTTCTGGAGCCCCTCGAAGATTCTGTGATTCTGAGGGTTAATTCTCAGAATGCACTGGCTTCCCATTCTTTCCAATCCCGTCCCTGGCACCTGAGATCCCCAGCATTTTGGCTATATGTTCACGTGTATATATTCAGGTCCATAGACTTAGATTAATCACCATTCTTGGCTTCAACACCTATCATCTTTCATCCATGTCATTTAATTAGTTTATTTAATAATATAATGGACACCAGCAAAGGCGCCTGTCAAACCAATGACGAGCATATGACCACGAACACATCTTATGTGCTCCTCTCCCAACCCCCATCCCCACCTGCTCTCAGAAGGAGCCACTGGCTGAATCCTGTGATTAACATTTCCTTGCTTTTCTTTTCTTGTTTCATCACATGTTGATGATAATTTTACTTGCTTGTGAACTTTATTTTTAATAAGGATCTCAACTTGCTTTCCTTGCCTTAGCATTACATTTGTAAGATTCATCTATGTTGTGCATAGCTGTGGTTCATTTGTACCAGAGTTCATTTATTCATTCTTCTGCCATTGGACATTTGGGTTGTCCTCAGGTTTTCACTAATCTGAACCATTAGTTTGGATAATCTTACCAATAGCCCCACGTGTGCATTCGTAAGAGTTGCTCGTGGGTGTGTAGCTGGGAGAGGAACTGCTGGGTGATACGGTATGCAAATGTTCAATTTTACAAGATACTGTCAATCTTTTTCTCCCAAAGTGTCTGTTCCAGTTTACACCCTCACTGCCGGTCTGTGAGGGGTCCTGATATCCATCTTCAACACTGGCATTAAGTGCACTGATCTTTATTCTGTTAGAAACCGTACAATGGCTACGGAGGTGAGGACCCAATTGGCTGAGCATCCGCTGATGAGGTGAGGCCCCAAAAGCCTACCCTGCCAACCGAGGAGGTAGAGGGGACAAAGTGGCCTCAGGGGAACTCAACAGGCTGAAGAGGGCCCGAGAGAGGCAGTCCTTCCTCACCTTCCACTGCCATCCGCTAGGCCTCCAATGCGTTCTCAGGCCTGAGGTACCTTAGGTCACAGGCGGGACCCCTCTCTGTGCAGGGAGAGGGTGGGGTAGCAGGGGCCAGGGGCACCGAGCACAGGAATTCCAGGGATTTTCAGGGGGTGACTTTGTTAATTGGGGTTAGAGGAGGCCAGCTAACTGTGACTTTCAGAGAAGGTTTACTTTATTTCTTTAAGTCCCAGATCCCTTAGGAGCAAATCAAGGATGGAACAGGAAACTCAGGGGCCTGGTCAACAAAATCCTCACAGGGTCCTGAGGCAGAACACCTTGCTTAGCATATCCAGAGTCCATCTATACTCCTCCAGAGGGACTCCCTCCAGCCAGGGCCACCGGGAGAAGGGAAAGCAGACAGCAAGCAGGCAGGTGGTCCCACCAGGCGCCAGGCGGAGAGCAGCCCACCTTCGGATCCCTGCCGGACGGACCTCGGCCTCTTCCTCCTGGGGCAGAGGCACAGCGTGATCAGGAGAGGGAAAGGGTGCAGGGTGGAGGACAGGGAACCTGAGACGGCTTGTCTCCAGTGACGCGAAGCAAGAGCTTGAAGCTTGCCTGCAGCGTCGCAGCCTTGCGAGCTGCTCCATCAGCTTGGGATCTCCAGGGAGGGGCCCCCATGGAAAAAGATTTGCTGGTGTAGTCTGACCTTGGGGCCTGCTTTGGCCCCCAGTGCTGAGCCTGGGCCAGAACCGCCCCGATGGAATGGGGGGTGTGGGGCGGTTGACAGCCTACAGCTGGCTTCTCCTGGGCTTGGGGAAAGACCTTTGGTGGGGTCAGCCCTCTGGCTCTGGAAGTGTATATAACATGCTTTTGTTCCAGTCCAGGTATTTAGATGAGAAGGTGGGTCTATAGCTTCTCTTTCTGGCTACAGAGATTGTTTCTGCAAGAAAACTGGGGTCCTGAGGAATTCCATCTGAGTTCTCTCAAATGGACCCTAGATCTCTGATAAACCACCTGAGGAAGACAGTCTCCCTGGGACTGGGGATTGTCCCATTTGAGAAGGGATCCCACAGGAGGCCCAGCTTTGAGGCCAGAGGGGTTGTAGAGAAATCCTGGAAACCACGCCTCAGAGTATCTCGGGAATGGACTCTGTACTAAGCCCTGAGCTCTGGGTTTGCCTGGGCACTGCTGCCAGGAGGCTTCATTAGCTTCTTTTTGACCCTCTTCTTCAGTCCAACGGCTGAGCTGAAGGCTGAGAAGTCAGAGCACAGGCCCAGAAGCCACGAGGTCGACAGGCCGCAGAAGGAACTGATGGTCCCAAGGATCGTGGATTTCAAGGTGATCCAAGAAGAATTGAGGACCCCCAAGCCCCAAGCCCCTGGCACCTACCGCTTCGGTCGCCTCAGCCACCACTCCTTCTTCTCCCGGCATCACCCCCACCCACAGCGTGTGACCCACATCCAAGGTAGGGCTGGGTGGCCAGGATGTGGCTGGCAGCAGTAGGACACCTTTAAAACCTAGACAGGGAGGACCCAGGCCCTATTTCTAGGCTGAGGCCCAGAGAGGATGGGGACTTGGCCGGGGTCACAGAGCTGCTTGGCCACTTGCAAGCACTTGGCCGAGCCAAAACCTAACTTGGGCGGCAGGCTTCAAGGGCAGACCCATGTCCCTTCAGGGTTTCCCTTGTTACCGATTCTCTCACCTTACAAATCAGAGAAAGGGATGAATGATCTGCCCCAGAGGGGCACCCAGTTCGCTAACACAGGTCATTTCACCCTTCGGTATCTACCGAGTGTGAACTATGTATGAGTCACTTTTTTAGACTCTGGGAATATGACAAAGAACAAGATAGTCCCTGTCCTCATGGAGCTGACTCTCTCGTGGGGAAGGATAGGAAATAGATCAGGTGTCAGAGCGCGGTGAGTGCCAAGGCTATGGAGGGGAAACCTGACCAATAGCATGACTTTTGAGCAAAGAACTAAAAGAAGAAAGGACACGAATCAACCATATGGCTATCAGGGGTTGGGGGGCGGGGAGAATGTTCCGGCAGAGGGAACAGCAAGTGTGAAGGCCCTGAGGCACGCCTCCTGCCGCTGTTGGAGGGACAGCAAGGAGGCCAATGGGGCTGGAGGAGAGGAAGGAGGAGGAGGAAGGAGATGCTGCAGAGAGGCAATGGGGACCCAGATCATGCGGGCCTTGGAGGTCATGGTAGCCATCGCTAAGCCATCTCACCAAATCAGATAAGAACCACTGGAAAGTTGAGAGCAAAGAACTGTCAAAAGAGATGTTGGCCTCTGTCTGGATGGTGGCTTTAGCCAGGGAGGTAGTCGTGGAAGAGTCAGTGGCCCTGCTCTAGGGATATACAGAAGGAAAAGCCAACAGGACCTGCTGATTGATTAAACAGAGTGTGAGAGGGAGAGAGGAGTCAATATTGAATCCCAGGTTTTTGGCTTGAGTGGCTGGGAAACTGGAGTTGCTTTGGCTGGGACAAAGACCACTGGGACAAAGGTGACTCAGAAGGGGCCACGGAGGATGGGAGGAGTCAGGAGTTTGGTCTGGGACCTAAGAGGTGTAAAATGTGAGATGCCTCTTAGACATCAGGCGGAGGTGCTGAGGAGGCAGTTGGGCCCGGAGTTCAGGGGAAAGATGCAAACATGAGAATGATTCAAGCGCGGACGGTGTGTGGAGTGGCGGGCCTGGATGGGACTGCCCAGGAGACCGCGTGCACACAAGGGGGGAGAGCCTGGGGGCTGAGCCCCGGGACCCCAAGGATAAGAGGTTGAGAGGAGGAGGAAGCAGCCGAGGAGATGAGGAGTGGCTGGCAGGCGTGGGAGGGGTCCGAAAGGAACGTGTTTCAGGAAGAAGACAGTGAGCAACCATTCTGTCCTAATGAGGCTGGCCCTTAGGCTGAAGGGTCCTCGTGTGTAAACTGCCTGTCACCCTCTCCAGGCTGCCTGGCACTCAACACTGCACAGGCTGACAGAGGGCAAAAGGTTTTATCCAGAGTGTTTAGCTAAAACTCACTCTCTGTGGTTTGAGCCCAGGTCCTTCTTGTCACGAACTGCGGCTTTTTGTCTCCACCCCCATGTGTCCTTCGTTAGGCTGCTTATCGCAGTGTTACCTGCAATCATTGCTCTGTCATAGTCATAAGGACATCAGGACCAGGGTCTCAGGAAGGCCAACTTGTTGTGTGACCCTGAGCACATCACTTTGCTGTCTGTTCTAAGTGCCCCTGGGGGTAAGGTCTGGGCGGTTGCAGAGGCCCTGTAGGCTCTCACGCTCTAAGGGCTGTGGGTACTGGAAGAAGGGGGCCCAGCTTTCCCCCTGCCCAGCCTCCTGGAGCTCTTGGAGCCCACCCAGGCCCCCGCTTCCCACAGCCTCTACCCCTTCACAGATCTCACCGGGAAGCCCGTCTGTGTCGTCAGGGATAAGTTCCCTCTGGCTCCCTTGTCTCAAGCCACTCTCTTATCCCACCGTCTGATGGGGATGCCCACCATCTCCGTCCCCGTTGGAGACCCGCAGTCCAATCGGGACCCCCGGCTTTCTTCTGGTGGGTACTCGGGCCACGGACCCTCTACCTTGGGGTTACGCCTCCCTCCAAAAGCTATCCCACCTGCACAGGTGCCTGAGAGAAAAATAGAATCGGTCAGGTACCCCATTTTTTCCCTCATTTCCTCCGCATCTGCATCTACATTTTTTCCCATCCCTAAGGTCCTCAGAAATGTGCCCCTGCTTGGATTTGAGGTGTTTGAGGAGAAATCACAAGCAGAGGACCAGCAGATTTGGGCCACAGTCATGTGACTTAAAGCTATAAACAGGCATGATATTGGAAATACTTAGTACTTGTATTCAAGCACCAGCCATCAGCCCTGCTGCATAACACTGCTGCAGCGCCACCCGGGGCCTCTGCTCTGCTAGGCTTTACCCTTTCTGTTGTGGGGAGGGGTCCTGCGGAAGGAGCTGGGGCAGCCTGCAGGGAGAGAGGCTTGGGAGGCTTGGTTAGTGCTCTGCACCACCCTCTCCAGGAGTTCAATATTTTGGTAACTGGCACTGCATATCGACTGAATCTCAATCTTGGCTTCAGTTGTCTAAAAGAGACAAAGCTGGATTAAACCACTCACATCTTGGCACAAATAGCCAAATGCTCTCTAGCACCTCTCAGTAAAGCCACAGGCTGGGACATCAACAGCACCCCTCCCCCACCCAGCCAACGCATCCACCCTCCTACCCACCAACGGTGTGATACCTAATCCTTCCTCCAAGGGCACCCCCTCTCCTTCCCTTTAAGATGCAGGTAGGAGGCTGGGAGGAGAGAGTGCTCTTCCAGCTACAGCCCTGCCCCCGCCCCCAGCACCTGGTGCCACAGGGACGGCAAGGAGCAGGGCCCCAGACCTCAGTTGCCAGGGTCGTTTCCCCTCCTCCCAGAAGCCTGGAAGAAGGAGTTAAAGGACCTGGCTTCCCAGGTGGTCACCTTCACCAAGGAGAATGAGCTGAAGAACAAAGAGGTGGGTGCAGAACCAAGGAGCTGTCTGGGAGGAGACGAAATGGGTCCAGCCCTTTGTCAGGAAGTCCTTCCCAAGTCTAACCAGCAGAAGAGGAAGTGTCCATTGAGGTGCTGCTGTTGACACTGGGGAGGAGGGACCGACAAATACTGCCAAAGGGAGAGGGCCGTGGTGAGGGCGCAGAGGAGCAGAGAAACATACCCAGGAGGAGAAATCCAAGAGGGATTGCTAGTTCAGAAGTGGCCGGGGGTAGGGTAAAGCACTCTAGTAGAGGCACACAGCACGAAAGCTCAGAAGCTGGAAAATACAAGACATCTTCAGAGAGCAGGGAGCTGAAGTGCAGGGCAATGGGGGAGAAGGTTAGAAGGGGCTGGCTTGGAATGTGGGCAAGACGAGCTTGTTCTAATTTCTGAACTTAATGTAGTGTCTAATCTCATAAAGAGTAGAGGGTCACTGAAGGCTTTCAAACAGGATTGGGGTGGCCTCATGGGTGCTATTTGCTGACTAGTAAAGACAAGTGGAAGGTGCTTAAAGGTAGTAGGAGCCGGTCCTGGGAGAGGCCTGGCCCTTTGTGGATGAGTCTCATCCTGCGCTTGTGTTGCACCACAGAGTTCTCATCTCTGCCCTGCAGCTAACTCACTGAGGCTCTGAGGGCAACTCCACTAAACTGTCTGAGTCAGAGTTTTCTAATCTTTAAGATGGGAAGAAAGATACTACCAGTCTTAACAGGAGTGGCAGAGTCTAGAGGCCCAGGCCTTGTGCCCACAGGCCAGGCTTGGGAGCATTTCCCAGGGCTAAGGAAGGATGCCAGGCTGTGGGGGACAGACCTGGGGGCAGCTGAGCAGGAACTAAGGTAGGTGGTGGGGGCCTCGGCACAGAACGCTGTTTTCAGATCTCTGATGGGCTGGGGGAGAGGCAGCAGGGAGGGCCTGCCCAGGAGGAAGGACCAAGGTGAGTGGGGAGGGCTTGGAGGGAGCAGGTGGGTGGCCGGAGTTCAATGAAGTTTCAGGAGGAAGAGCTTGGGCTACAATGGAAGAGCCCCTGCTGGGCAGAGGGGTCTAGGACAGGGTGGGGCTGGCCTGGTCGACATCCTGGGTCCCTGCAATGCTGTGATGCTGAGGTTCCAGGAGAGGACATGATGGGCTCCCTGGAGACGTGACCCAGCCTCCTCCTATTCTCTTCTCTTCCTCTTCCTCTTCCTCTTCCTCTTCTCTTCTCTTCTCTTCTCTTCTCTTCTCTTCTCTTCTCTCTTCTCTTCTCTTCTCTTCTCTTCTCTTCTCTTCTCTCCTCTCCTCTCCTCTCCTCTCCTCTCCTCTTCTCTTCTCTGTCTTCCCTCTCCTATCTTTCTATCTACCTATCTACCTACCTACCTACCTACCTATCTGTATATCTATTCCACATCCCCACCCCCGGAGCCACTTTTCTTCCAGCAGAAGGAGCCTCAACGGGAGCAGGGGGCAAAGTACTCGGCAGAGACCGGGAGGCTCATCCCTGCTTCCAGCCGAGCGCTCAGCCGCCGCCAGTCCCGCCAGGGCCGAGGGAACTATCCTTCTGGCAGAGATGGAGGAGTCCAGGCCTATGTCCTGCAGGATCAGGAGCTGCTGGTGAGATCCTGGGAAGGTTGGGGGCTGCGACCCTAGAGAGGTGCTAGTCTAAGGACAGAAAAGAGGGTGGCATCGCTCCTAGACTTATAGCGATCCCAGCTAGGACTCCTGTAAACTACTAAGTGTGGACTTTCCCAGAGATACCTGCACTTAAGACTGTAAGACATGAAAACTCCAGACCTGGGAGTCAGGAGCCTAATCCCCTGCTGCTTCCAGGTTTCTGTGTAAGTTTTTCCCTCTTTTTAAAGTCCTTTCTCCTCTTGAGGCCTTAGTTTCATGATTCAGCCACACTGGGAGCATAAAATCATTATCACCAGGTTCTGTTCCAGCTTTGGCACTTGGCAAGTTAATGAAGGGAGCTTCAGTGGTGGAATGAGGAGATGAAATGTGTCCTCGGACCACGCCCTGGTGTGTCGTGCCCTGCAGCCTGCAAGGCTGGTCCCAGCCTAGTCTCTCCATGCTGGGAGAGGCGCCTGGTCTGCGCTATGACAAAGCACAAAACCCACCTCCTCCACATCCAAGTTTCCCCCTCAAGCCCTGAGATGAGTGCACGACTCATCCCAGTAGGGTAAGGCATTGAAAGTCCCTGTTAAAATGCACACGTGCTCTCCAGGAAAGGCCAGACCGTTAGCCAGAATCTCACACCTTCCCTATGACCAGTGCGTTCAAAACAGTCCAATTAAGTGAGCAGAGCAGACAGGGCCCCAGATCCCCATTTCACAGATTGGGAGGCAGGGGCCCTGCCAGGTGACCTTTTGTGGCCCAGGTCCTATAGAAGGAGCAGCATAGCTGGGACTAGAACACAGTACTTTCTCCACCATAGGGCGGCTTCACCTTGCCTGGAAATAGGTTCTCAGGTTCCTTGGGGAGGGTGCACAGGGCAGGTAAGTTGGATGCAGAGGGAACTGAGAAGGACCCTGGGACAGAGCGGGGCGCGGTCACCGCATAGGGTGGGTACCTGGGGGCAAGGGCGGACACCCTAGCAGGCACAGGCCTGGGGGAGCGGCAAGCCCAGGGTCCCCTCTGACCACCACTGGTTCAACTGGCCTCTCCTGAAAGAAGGAACCCCACTTTCCTAGGACCCCAGGTGCTCCACCTCCCATCGTGGGCTCAAACTCCAGCCACCCATAGACACAGCTGCCATCAGCATCGTGGCCTAGGGAGCCCTCGTAGCCCTTTCAAGGCAGAGCTGGATCTTTTCGCAATGATCCTTGACTGGAGAACGCAGGGAGGAAAGGGCCCTGAAGCACCAAAGATGGCAGAGGCCGAGGACACGGCAGCAAGCAAAGCGGGCGTGCTGCTCAGTGGCAGGAAGGAGCCCCGAGCTGAGCAGCGTGCAGAACCAGCTGGCCCCGACACGCGGGCTGCCCACTGGGATCACCCCACCTCTTCCCTAACATCTCCAGACTCTGAATATGGGAACTTCAGGGTGGGCAGGCTCATGGGGTCCCTGAAATCCCCACACCAAGGACTCGGGCATTTGGGACTCGGTGCGTCTCTGAGGAGCTGACTGTCCAGCTCTGACTTTGCCTTCCCAGGGAGGGACTTGGGGGAACCACCAGCCCAAGCAGGGCTCATATATCTGTGTCCACATATCTGATTCTGGGGGTTAGTTCTGCCTCAATCTCCCTGCTAGGTTTCCTCCTCTCTCAAGGCCTCAGATTGCTTAACTGTTCAGTGAGCAATATAAGAATCTCCCTCAGGGCTGTTGGGAGAGCAAGCCCTCTGTAGAGTGCAAAGTCCCGTGCAGAGAGGAGGCAAGGACCATTGAGGGGAGCAGTTTAGCCAAGCATGTGGCTCTGGGAGCCCATTTCGGGGGACAGGTGCCTGCGTTGCCGACTGGAACAGGCCGTCCAGCCCACTGACCCAGGTCTGTCCTGCCCACAGATCTTGGAGCTGCTCTGTCAGATCCTGCAAACAGACTCCTTGAGTGCTATCCAGTTCTGGCTGCTCTACGCTCCTCCCAAGGGTGAGACACAGCCCCATGCCGGGGTCATCCTCGGAGTGGGGGCTGCTGAGGGCCTTGTCTGCTGGTCTGCAGCACTCACATGTCACTCGGCTCTCCGCCCAGGGCCTTCTGCCTCAGTCTCATCTCCTTTTTGGAGCCCAAAACTAACATTTTCCAGCTGGACATCAGCCGCCTCCTCCCATTCCTCAGCCAGGTTTCCACCACCCTGCTCCTCAGAAGGGACCCCTCCTCTGTGCTGACCAGGCCTCGGCACCTGGGAGGGAGAAGTCCAAAGACCAGACTTAGCAGACACGGCCCCTCACCCACCACTGTGGGAAATGCATGCACACAAATGCAAACACACACATGTAAGAACACACATGTACATACGTGTGAGTGTATGAATGGATATACACACATGCACTGGGACGGGGGTAGAGGGCACATCTAAGTGGGAAGGTGAGGAGTGATGAGAGCTGACGGGGAGGCCTTCCTGATGGGAAGAGTGAAGGGGGAGGAAGAGGGGGCAGCTGCCCTATAGGCTTCCCAGGGTGGGCCAGAGCGTGTCGTGGGCAGGTGGGCCAAGAACCAGGTACCCACGAGAAGGTGTGGAAGGGCGTGGCACACAGCACACAAGGGACAGGGAGAAGTGGGATCTCCCCATGGGGCCCCATGGGCAGAATGTGAGACGTTTCGGGAAAGCTGCCCTGGGCAGGATTAGGCAGAAGGGCTGGAGGCCCTGCTTCCTGCGTGTCCAATCTAGGGACTAGACTGGGGCTGGGGTCGTGCCCCTGAGGGCTCTGCTCCCTGGCTCTGCTTACAGAGAAAGACTTGGCACTGGGGCTCCTGCAGGCAGCAGTGGCTCAGCTGTTTCCCCAGGCTCTGGTCTCCATCCCAACAGAAAAACTCCTGAACCAGCTCAAAGAAGTCCAAGAGCCACCTCAAGAAAGGCAGCAGCCACCCTACAGGTGGGCTTCACACCCCTCATTTGCCCCTCTGTTCCAAGAACTGCTCCCTCACATTCAGTACCTGTCCTCCCAGGTGGGGCTAGGGGGGCTCAGAGAAGGGAGCCTGGTACTGGCCGGAGCCTGGGCTGACTGAGCCCGTCCTGGAGGGAGAGGCCAGCCTCTCCCACGGGACCCTCCAGGGCCGCTTGTGCTGCTCAAAGACCCACTCTGCCAGGCAAGACTCCAGCTGCCGGCTGCGGGCATGCCCGAGGGGGTGATCTGTGTCAGTTGTAGCAAGACAGGGCTGGGGAAGCCCCTGCTAGCCCTCCAGAGGCTCTTGGGAAGACACAAGTAGAGAAGGAAAGCTAACACAGGCAGGCAGCTGTACCTCCATGTTAGTATCAAGGGCCCTGGATGGCTGGAGAGAAAGAGATTAATTCCAAGTGGGGAAGGGGAAGGTGAGGGAAGGCCTCACAAAGCAGGTGAGTAAGATCTGACAGCCAGCACTGGAGCCTGCAATATTGAACGCCCATCATATCTGCCTGACGTCACTGGGTGCTTTACATATTTCTAGTCCATACAACCACCCATGGAGGTCCCATCATCTCCATTTAACAGATGAGAAAACTGAGGCACAGAAATGGTTGAACGACTCCAAGTCACCTGGCTAGTCAGCAGAAGAGCTGGGATCAGACTTGGACTTGCCTGACTTACGTGCCTAGCTGTGCTCAGATCCACAGCAGAGCTTATTAAAAGTGAAAATTCCTAGGGAGTCTAAAACAGAAGGTGGGGTGGGAGCGGGGTACACAGGGGTTGTATGTTTTTAACAACCACCCAAATACTTCTGATAGAGCTTGGAGAGCACTGCTGGGTGAGTGGGATTTGAACGAGGAAAGGAGGGGGCAGGGAGTGTCAGGAATGGAAGTCAGGAATGTGCACACCTTAGAGGATGTTAAGTTTTGGGGCAGTTGCAGCGCGATGGGCCTGGGGAGAAACGGGCAGGTGCTTGTGCTCCCTTAGGTTTGTTGACGGTGTGGGTGCTTGCCCTGGCCCTGCACTTGGTTTTCTTTTCCACGTGGGGAGGCCAGGGGAGGCCAGGAGGAAGGCAGCCTTGCTTCACTGAGGCCTTGGTCAAGCCACCTCCCTGTGCGAGCCTCAGTTTCACCTCTCAAAAGCTCCTCTCCCATAGTTGTAGGAAGGAAAACTTACACCTGATGCATAAAAGGGCTTGCTGACGTGTACAGCTGATGCAAGATAATCTACGAGCATTATTCATGCTTATAAGTAATTTATCAGGGAAGCAGGCCTCGTCTTCTCTGTTAAGGGGGAAGACTTCCTGTCTGCGAGGAAGCGAGAGGCCAAGGGAGGGCCTGGGGTAGTGTCAGCACAGCGGCCTCCCTTACAGCTCCCAGGACAGGAGTGCCTCAGTTCCCTGTGGCCACAGCAGGCAATGGAGTCACAGTTGTCAGGGTCCTTCTTGAGGGATGCCAGCCACAGACAGACGCTGGTTCTCAGGGAGGACTGGCTCCTGCCTCTTCCTAGAGAACCTTCCTCACCTCCCCGCCCACCCTGCCGCTCTGCTATGACGCGCTCCAATCTGACCTTCCCAGACCTTCTTTCCTCTGTGTTGGTTATAGCCAGTCCCTGAAGATTTCAAAGACAACACCTCTACCAAAAAGCGAAAAACCAGGTAAGATTCCACATGGCAGGTCACCGGAGGCCTGCCAAGGCCCACCCTGGCTGGATTCCTTGGGGGACTTAAGAATCCTTGGAGATGGGTCTCTGTCCAAAGAAGCCGTTCATCTCACCCATTCATCCATTCACACATTCATTCATTCAGCACTTATTTAGCACCTGTGTGCCAGGCTCTAGGGATCGCTGGGGTAGGATTCAGACAAGTTCCTGCCGTTGTGGAGTTTGCATGCTAGGGGAGAAGTGTGCAGACAACAAATAAAAACCTCTGAGGGGCACACATGCTGTAAGGAAAATAAAGCGGGGTGATGTGATGGACAGTAAGAAGGACTAGCAAGGTGAGGAGAGGGCTCCTTGAACTGAATGACGGGAAGGATTCGGCCCTAAGCAGGCCAAGGGAGGGCCTACAAATAGGAATCCTACCTGCCTGGTGTGTTGGTGAAAGAGTAAGCAGATCAGGGTGACCAGAGGCTTGCGGGTTGGGGATAGTGGTAGGAAATAAGATGAGACAGGTGGACCTGCTGTGTGGTCTCATGCAGAGGACACGGGGGTGCACTGGAGGGTTATGGGCAGGGGTCCCCTGGCTTCTGGGTAGAGTATGGGACTCTTGGGGGCAGAAAGTCAGTGAGGGAGATGAGAGAGGAGGCTGCTGTAGTCACCCTGGTGTTTTAGACCAAGTTTGGGGGGGAGCGGGGCGTGAGGGGAGAGAAGACAGTATCCGCCATGTACTATATTCTCCTCTACTAGACTATAAAGGGTCCTGAGTGGCTGGTGGAGTGCCTGCGTCGAGTAGGCACTTCATAGATATTTATTACCTGGATGTAGAAAGAAGCGGGTGGTGGCGAGGCTCAGAGAAGAGTCCCTCTCCCAGCTACCAGCCGAGCCCAGAGCAGAAGCAGCGTTGACTCAGTCAGGCCTTCACGCGCCTCCCCCTGCTCTTGTACATCTGCCTGGGGCCTTGTGGAGACAGGGGTCTCCCAAGTCTCCCGGGCAGCTCCTAGGTAGGGGCCTGGTCCTTCCTCACCCTCTCCCACCCACTGTGTCTCCCCTTCTCCCAGAGCACATTGGAAAAGCACAAGTTCTGCGGATGCATTCAAACCAGAACGCAGAAGAGAAAACGTCAAGCCCAAAGGCAGAGTGATGAGGAATCTGCGCTGTTCTACCTGCCCTGCTCTAGAGGCAGCCCAGAGTTCACGCTTGTTTTTGCCTCTGCCACCTCAACAGCAATACATACTTTCCTATCACACAGAGTCTATTAAAATAGGGTCTTCCTTTTAAGAGGACAGTTCCACTCTCCTATCAACAGCGGGTCTGTGCTTGGGTTGTTTCTTCCTGGAGAGGGGGGTGAGCTGCATGGAGCGACCCCCAATCCCTTGGAGAATGCCCGGATGCACTGCCCACGTGCAGCTCACCTCGTTCTTTTATCTTCCAGGAAACAAAAGAGCAAATAGTGGCAGGTGTGGCTGGAGAAAGCTCTGCTCCTCCTTGAACTAAGGCACACAAGGCTCTGGGCAGGTTAGAGCAGAGGTCAGGAACCCGCAGGCCTCCCTAAAATAATCATCGATACCAGGCACGGAGGCAGAGACTTCAGTAAATAGCTAATGATGAACACTGTTTGCTGACCCAAAAAAGTCAGGGGGCTTTGGCTAAATGTAAATGACACAGGTTTACTCAAGGGTCTTAGGGTTTGCAAACTGGAAACACAACTAGGCAATACACAGAGTGTTTCAAAGGAGAAAGAAAAGCTAAGTGTTCATATAGCAAAAAGTACATTCAGTTCTGCACTCTTAGCCCCTGGGTTGATCTTAAAGGGTATCTTTCAGGTGTCTGGTGGTCTAGGCAATGGAATATTTTCTTCTTGAGGTCATTCAGATGGTTCACTGAAGGTTGGATGTTATGTCCAGGCATTAACGCATAATGCACTCACGTGCACGCAGGCTTTGACACAGAATTGGAAAGTTCAAAAGTGTAAGTTCCCAGAGTCAGTTAGAACAGGAATAGTAGTTTACTCATGCTTCAGCCTACTTAATTTTTATAATTTTGCAGCTTGACAGTAATGACTCCATTTTATTTCTTCACTCTATTCCTCAAACACTATGTGAATTGTTCTTTTACCATTGTAACCATTTTTATATATAAAATACCACATCCTTTATATATGGTACTATATTTGATTTCCCCAAAAGCTCTATGAAGTAGAGTATTAATATTATAACTCCCATTTTATAGATGAATAAGCTGAGGCTCAGAAAGGTGAAATAAGTTATCTGAGGCCACATAATAAGCAGCAGAGCCCAGATCCAAACCCAACACGCCTGGTTCTAGAATCCCCACTGCACTCTACTGACTTGCAAACAGCAACCCTCACCGAAAGTTGTGGTTACATCCCTGAAAAGCAAAAAGGTTAGTAAGATGATGGCTTGGCAAGATAAGGAGGAATGGGGCATCATCATACAAATGTGACTCAGATGCACCCAGGGTGTGTCTGTCTTATAAGACCTGGAGAAGATGGCTTTGACCCTCTTCCCGTGAGATGTCTGCAAATTCCCTGAAAGGTGCAGGGGGGGAAGGCACTGAGGCCTTACAATGCCAAGGTCACCTGTGGCTCTGAGCTCCTACTTCCACTGAGTTCAGTCCATGGATTGCGGCTCCATTCCACATTTGCCGTGCTGCTCCACCTCACATCAGCTCAGGGGGATTAAGTCCCTCTACGTTTTCCCAAACACCCCATTCACAGAAAAGTTTTGTGTGCAGTAGGCTTCAAAGGAGAGCAGGGCTGGATGGGGATTTGCTGTAAATCCAGCCAACAGCTTCATGCTCAATGTTAACTAGCCTTGGTTTTGAAAAGTCCTTGGCTACACTCTTACTGGGGATTTTTTCTTGGTGGCAGCCTCTTGCCATATCGCTGGACTTCTCTTTTCTCTCCCCTGACACCAGTTTCCCCCTGGAAAGCCCACATTTTATTTTTTTTCAATTTTCTTATTGTGGTAAAACATATATCACATAATATTTACCATTGTAACCATTTTAAGTGTACAGTTCAGTGGTATTAAGCACATTCACGTTGTGGTGCAACCGTCACCACCACCCATTTGCAGAACTCTTTATCTTGCAAAACTGAAGCTCTGTGTCCATTAATAACTCCCCATTCTCCCCTCCCCCCAGTCCCCGGAAACCACCGTTCCTCTCTATGAACCTGACTACTCTAGTATTTCATGGAAGTGGAATCAAACAATCATACTTATTTGTCTTTTCGTGTCTGCTTTATTTCAGTTAGCACAATGCCCTCGAAGCTCATCCATATTGTAACATGTCAGTGTTTCCCCTCACATTTATTTTTTTTTTTTATCGATGCAGCAGTTCAGTTTCCCCCAACCTCTCCAACCCACCTTGGCCCGTCCAACCTCACCATAGGTCTGTTCATGGAATAGTGTCCTTGCCCCTTGGCAGTTGTGGTTATGAGAATGTACCCCTCCTCCACTGCAAGTAATTTCACACAGCAAAAATTTCTAGAAGATAGCTACTTCCAAAATAAATCACACTTGTTTGCACAAAAAAAAATCTGGCTCTTTGGGTAATCCTTCTACCTCACCTTTAATTTTTCAGGAAATATCGCCATGAGATATTTGCCACTGCAGCTTCTCACAATTTTCTTATTCCATAGAGTGTACCTCTCATCAAATTTGCCTAGTCCATCCTTCAAATGTATGTATGTTGCTTTCTTCCCCTCTTGTTTGCTTTTGCAAATCCATGCAAAATGCCGGAGTTACTGCCTGGCTTTTGCACTCATTGTCATTGCACTTAGAGACCAGATGTTCTAAGGCCTGGCTTCTAACCTGAATATTTTGAGGGTAGATTGTGAGCAGATCTTTCTTAACAGCCCTGCAGTCTATCAGGACAAAGATAAGGACACTGAACTGAATCATGTACTCATAAAAACACTGTGGAAATAAATGTTGTGATATGCAAATGGGACGCTATTGCAAAAAAAAAAAAAAAAAAAGTAGGGCCCAACTATGGTTGGATGGGATAACTTGACCTCATCCAATGCTCATGACAATGCATAAGGTAGGTGTAATGAGCCACATTTTACAGTAACGTGTCAAAGTTTACCCAGCCAACAAGCAGTGGATTCAAGCCCAGGGTCAGGGGCTCTTCAGTCAGTGCTCTCTGACACACTGCCATCCTGCAGGCCACGCCCCAGAATCGACTGTCTCCAGACAAAGAAGTGGACTCTTCTCTCACTCCCAGCTACATCACCCCCTTTTTCTCTCAGTTCCTCCTTCCCACCTCTTGGATATGGGGATACTGTGGCCTCTGACTCCCAGGCCCTCTTCAAAGTCTCCCTACAGGAAAGCATCCTTTTTCCACGTCTTGAGTCATTGCTAAACTCCAGGGGGAGACAGCCTGCTGGGGGGAGTTGAAGGTTCCAGGCATCTGAATGAGCCCTGGTCAGAGTAGTCACTGGCCTTTCTGGAAATGCTGCCTTCCTCGTCACCTGCGCTGGACCATCTGTGCCCCTCTGATCTTGCGCACGTTTGTCACTAGGCTGTGGCCCGTAGGTCTGTCTGGCTTTGCAGAGTCTCTGTGCTCTGCTGAGCAGCACTCCCTGTCTCAGTGGCTCAGTCCCCATTTGACTTCTGCTGGGTGTCAGGACACTTCTGGGTTACTCCTAGGTTTTCCCTAAATCCAGGCCCTGGAATTTCTCTTCTTACCCTCTGCTTCTCTGCCTGAAGCATGAAGACAGATTTTCCCTTTCAGTTATATCCATGGCATCTTGGTCTTGATGTGTTATAGAATTTTCTCATACACAAGAAGATAAATAAAAATGTATTAAATCATTCCTCCATGTGCCACCTAAGCTCATCTGTTGTACTGCCAGAGCATATTCACCACAGTGCAAGAAACAGTGACTAGAACAGATTCCAACTTGAAGATGAGAGAGCCACCCCTGGCCCTTGGCTTAAGGACACACGTGAGGGTCAGCTGCCCTGTGCCCAGTTTGCTGGCTCAACAATCTCCCTGCCCCCCTACCCGCCCCCTCCGCCAGCCATTCCACTTCAATTGATCAGAATAGACTGGAGACCCATTTCAACAAAGGCAGGGAGGAGGTTGTAACCTCACTACTAGGACCTTAGAATCCCATTATTGAGATGTCCCTCAGAAGCTCTCTAGCCAGAGCTCTCTAGCTCTCTGAGCTCATGGGAAACCCCACTGCAGCACCTAAAACATGGAGCCCGACTTCAGCTGAGACACCTACAGTAACAGAGATCTCACCACCTTTCCTAGCTGCTCAAAATTTAGCTCAGCGGCAGAGCCACAATGATCAAGTCTTTCCTTCTTCCCCTGGCTAATTTTGCCCGTGTCAAAACTCTTCAGTAAATCTCAATTAGACCACCTGTCCTTTCAAATCTTTTATACCTTTTCTATTTTAATTTTTCTTATTGCATTAGCTAATACTTTCAGAGTATGATGTTAAGTAACAATAATGATAGTGGGCATTTTAATATTTTTAATGGAAATGTCTGTCATTTTTCACAAGTAAGCATAAGTTGACTCTGTTTATATATCAAATGTATATCAACTGAAATACATAAGTGTTTAATTCTTAAGTGTTTAATCCACATTGTAACCTTATGTGTTTAATTCTTAAATGTTTAATCCACATTATAGCCTTATAAGATAGATACTGTTACTACGACAATTTTGCAGATAAGGAGCTGAAAAAAGAAGTAACTTGCTCGAGATCATACGAATAAGCAGACTCAGGATTCAAACCCGGCAGCTCAAGTGGGCAGTGCCGATTCTCTTGCCCATGTCTGTCCCATAGTAACTGCATGTGGTAGATATTGGTATTAGCGCAACTTTATAGATGAGATGTCAGAAGAAAGGTTAAGTAGTCCAAACTCAAAGAGCTTGCAAGTATATCCTTCTCATGGGTTCACAGGGTAGTTTCAGAGTTCACCTCTACTGCACATGGGGTTAATTTCTTCTGCATGTTGTATGATTTTTCTGAAATCTGTCTTCCATTTCACTGCCTTGGTTTCCAATTATACCCTTGATATTACTCTATTCATTAACTCTGTGATGGTGTTATTTTTGTCCTTGGCTTCTTTTCTTAGTCCACACAACCTCCTTTTCAACTCACTCTATTCTCCACTTCGAACTCTTATTTCAAATAATTTATCTTTCATT